CCGGGACGCCAATCCCAGAATGCATTTTGAACCAACAAACGAGATAAACAGCAGTATCTGAGCATCTAATTAAAAGCTGGTGTTGTGTTCAGGTTCACAAAGCATCAGAAATAACCGTGAGCTCATTAACATACTGACACATTAACAGCTGATGAACTAAACTGTTACACAGAGCTCAGTCAATCACAGCACAGCTCATTTACATACAGCACTCTTAAAGGTACAGCAGAGAATTATATCAGCACATTTATGATCAAATGATCAATTATATTGTTGCAAACCTGCATGACTTTGTTTTGGGAAAAACAAACAAACGAATACCTTTTGAGAAACGTCTCAGTGTTTTTCTTTTTTTATTATTATTATTATTATTATTTAATGAAATTCAACGAGGTCCAGTGTTATTTTACTATTATTAATATACTACTATGTTTTTATTTATATTTTGAAATGTATTTTTATATTTTCAGTTTTTATTTTTTTAATAATTTTGTTAAGTGCTGTCATTTTTATCGTTTTTTTTTTTTACATTTTTATGTCATATTTATTTAAATTATTGTACTTTTAATTTATTTTCAGTGAGTCATTGAGTCATGAAGAAAGAAAGAAAGAAAGAAAGAAAATGACATGAATGATCATTTTTGGCTGAATGATCTCTTTAATGGGAGAGGTCAGAGAAGAGGAACATGATGAGACGCTGTCATTGAGGGAAGATCCTGCAGAATCCTGAGCATGCTGCTGTCATCAGATGCTCTTAAAGAAGAACACACACACACTCACACACACACACACTCAACTTATTGTTGCTCGCTGTAAGTGATGATTTACAGTCAGCAGACGCTCCTGTTAGGGATTATTTTGTGATAATGAACATCTGACTCTACATTGTCCTTCTTGTCCAAATAAATCAGTAAATGAACATGAAATATTTATTAAAGACTAAATGATTTTATTAAGTTAGAGGAAAAAAGTGTGGAATCGTTTAAAAGACATGATACTAGCTATGTAGAGAAAAACTTGCCTGAAACAGCCATCAATGTCTCTGTCTGTGTGTGCAGCCCTTCATGCCTCTGGCCAGCCTGCGCTGTTCTCCTGACGCGCATCTGTTCCTGTGCCAGGCGTTTGTTCCCGAGTGCACGGATCACACGCGTGTCCTGCGGCCCTGCAGAGAGCTGTGTGAGCGTGTTCTGTCCGACTGCAGCAGAGACATGCTCACCTTCGGCATCAGCTGGCCGTCCGAGCTGCAGTGTGACCGGTGAGTAGATCATCAGTCTTCTGTGAGAGGAATGGGCTGCAACAGCTAAACAATCATGAAAATGGTAGGGGTGTGTGATATCATGATTTTTGATTGTGGTCGATTAAAATGTCTCTACGATCTGCTTTTGAAGCAATGTGGTAGTTTCGTGCTACAGAGCACATTCTATCAGCTGCAGTTCTGGCACCTCTGTCTCAATATACTGTACGAGACATACATACAAATAAACGTGAATAACGTGAATTATCAGATATTACTTAGCGGTAGAGTTACACTCACGGGACACTACACTTATTCACAATCACCACAATCACATATTTCCATCTGCTTTAAAGCCTTGCCGGTTAAACATTTCATTCGCGTGCTGCTCTGACGTGTGCTTTTTCTGAGCGTGCACACACTAAAGATCCTGTCAAACAGCGGCTGAGTTATCGTTCACATCTGATTGCGCTACTACTGTCAGAAACACACAAGCACATAGCAAAGATGGTTGCCCACTGCTCCAGGTGTGTGTACATGCAGAGCACAAATTCTGAATATGGGACCCCTTACTTGGCTACACGTCACGTCACTTTCATTTGTCATTAAAGGGATAGTTCACCCAAAAATGAAAATTCTGTCATTATTTACACGCCCTCATGTTGTGTATTAATTTCTCTCTTGTGCTGAACACAAAATAAGTTATTTTGAAGAATGTGGGTAACCAAACAGTAGCTGGTCTCCATTGACTTTAATAGTAGGGAAAAAATACTATGGAAGTCACTGTGGACCAGCAACTGTTTAGTTACACACATTCTTCAAAATAACTTTTATGTTCAAAAGAAGAAAGAAATTCATTCAAGTTTAAAGCAACTTGAGAGTGAGTAGGTGACAGAATTTTCATTTTTGGGTGAATTATCCCTTTAATTTTAATAAGTCAAGTCACCTTTATTTATAGACAGAATAAATAAATAATAGGACAGAATAAGTCAGAAGAGCTGCCAAAACATATGCGACCATTTAGAAGTTATGTTTCTCAAAGAAGTCTCTTAGACTGCATTTACTTGACCAAAAATATAGTACAAATGGCAATATTGTGAAATATTATTACAATTTGAAATCCTTTTAATATATTTTAAAACGTAATTTATTCCTGTGATAGCAAAATTGAATTTTCAGCATCATTACTCCAGTCTTCAGTGTCACATGATACGAAATCATTCTAATATGCTGATTAATTATTAGTGTTGAGAACAGTTTTGCAGCTTAATATTTTTGTGGAAAACATGCTTTTTTTCATGGTTCTTTCAGGAATCTTTCAGTGTTTATTTGAAATACAATCTTCTGTAACATTATAAATATCTTTACTGTCACTTTTGATCAATGCATCAAAAGTTAATGCATCTTTCTCAATGAAAGTATTAATTTAAAACAAAGAAACAAACAAAACAATTACTGACCCCAAACTTTTGAACAGAATTGTATTAATAAAACAATGTAAGTCATACTGTAGTAAAGAGGTGAGCACGTGTGTGATGACATCTCTCTCAGGACCCAGAGTAAGTGGGGGCAGGTCTGCAGGACAATGGCAGCTCTCACCTGTCCCAGATTGAAAAAGCTTGGGTTGCCTAGACCTGAAAGAAATATAATGATTAAAATAACCATCATCATGTCAGACTTGTTATTCATTTTGAATCCTTAAAAAAAGTTTTGCACCCAGTTGTACCTGTTGATGTAATGAGTGTTGAACTGAGTGGGGAAATGTGTCTGGTAATCCATGAGGCTGTGAGAGCGTGCAGTGACACCTAAGTGCAGTATTGCAGGACGAGGAGGTTCGGGACGTCTTCTCCTTTCCTGGCCTGTCTGCTGCTGAGCCCGCTGTTCAGCCCGACTGGGTCTCAACACACAGACACACACTCACACACACAGACACTCTCACACACACACAGACACACACACACACACACAGATACACACACACACACACACACATACAGATACACACACAGATACACACACATGCTTCATGCGTGTGCATCTACTGCCATCTTGTGTTTGGACTGGAAAACTGTCTTAAACTGTTGAAGTGGTCGGAGAAATTTTGACATTTAGCTCCTTCAGATTATTATCAATCTACCGGCCATATTTCAGTATGGAAACATATCTGTGTCAACAATAACAGAACTATTAATAGACAACAATGAAGTCATTATAACAAATAAAAATAAAAACAAATAAATAATAAATAAAAAAATATTTTAAAATAAATAATAAAAATAATTAAATGTTAAAATAAATATACACTTTAAAACTATTATATTTTTTACTAAGTAAACAAATAAATAGTTCATTTAAAATAAACACATAAATAATGCATTAATCAATCAATTAATCAATTAATTAATATAATAGCACTGTAAAAATAGAACTATAAACATACAAATATAAATAAAAAATTCATTTACATTTATAATTCATTTAAAAAATAATAAAACCACTAAAATTATTAAAACAAAATGTAAAATATAAAAAATCATTAACATTTTAAATATTTATTTAAAATAAATGCATAAATTATTCATTGCAAATAAATAAATAAAAGTTAAAATTAAAAAATTAAAATAAATAATTTCAAATAAATAAAATACATTTTAAAATAAATAATAACAATAATTAAATGTTAAAATAAAACAAACAAAATGAAATAAAACATTAAATAAATAATACAAATAATTTATTTTAAATAAATAAATAAATAACCAAACAAACAAATAAATATTTCATTTTCTCCGGAAGATATATATATATATATATATATATTTATGTTCCAGTGCCATCCATTACTATGGCACAAAAAGCGCTCTGCTTATAATCACTAAAAAGCAGTCACTCATCTTAAACTCTATCTTAAACGTCTCTGATTCAAGAAATCAACAGATATGTCTGCGATTGTCTACATTGCTCAACGCTGCAAAAACATGTTGAAATAGAAACCGGAGCGCAAACCATAACGCACCGTTTGCCAAATCTTTAACTGAGGGTGCTATTGATTTCGTTTGAGGGTGCTTAGCTTAGTTAACGGTTCAACCCAACCTTCTGCTAACCAGCGTTTAACCACTGCACCACAGCACAAGCCCAGTGTCTCATCCGGACGCTGAAGAAACTGCAGCAGGAAAATCTTATTTCACTTGTGTTTAATTAATGCATTTAATTGAAAAAAATTAAATAAAATATTAGATGATAAAATTAATTAATTAATGCAATTAATGCACTAAAATTAAAAATAAAAACAATATTATATTGTTATATTACAATAGTATATTGTCATCTGAACAAGTAACGAGTCTGCCACTTTTGTTCTGACCAACTGAGGAAAAAAGCATTACAATAAATCGCGCTATTTTATTCTCAAATTGTTAATGTTAACAACATCAGCATTGCGTGACTATGTGTGTATAGTGTGTATTAGCGACTAGATTTCGATTTCTGTACAGTCTAATCTCTAATTGTCATACCATTCAAATTTCATATAAAGAAATTAATTTTTTTTAACCCAAAAAGCAAATTATTCTTCCTTCGAACCGGTTATATATACAGTATATATATAGTCACAATTAATGCATTAATATAAAATGAAACATTAGATGAAGAGGCATAACTAATGCATTCAAATATTTTTATAATGCATGAGATATTAATGTTATAAAGTTACAGATTTGATGTTTCATATACAGTAATGTGCAGTGAGACTGAAAATGAGTCTTACCGAATGTCGTCGTCTGTGACGGTGAAGGCTTTGCAGAGCGGCTGCGATGTGTTCAGCCATATGCTCGGGTTCTTGTCGGCCGCCGAGGACGTCTGACCCGTGATGGGCGCCGAGCTCATGTGCAGAGCGCTAGCGATGGCTGACAGAAGCGTCTCGTCCGCCGAGTCCGGCCCCATACCTGCACCACAGCACCCATGTTAGCCAGCAATCGCAAACGCATTCAAACCAGACCCAACCAGCCTTACTCTGTAAACCTCTGGGCAGATCCATCGTCCTGAGCGCTTCCTCCGACACGTCCGACGAGCGCAGGCCCTTCAGACGCTTCTCCCAGAACAGCTGCGCAAAACACACCACACACAAGAAACCCATGAAGAATCAAATCACATCTGTGGCCCTGCAGCACAAAAGCAGTGTTAAGTCGCTGGGGTATATTTGTAGCAATAGCCAACAATACATTGTATGGGTCACAATTATAAATTTTTCTTTTATGCCATTTATGCCATTATGATAAATGATAACGATCGTGATAAATGATAAGTCAGTAGATGCTGACAGCTCTTTCACTAACAGTAACATCTTCAAGACTTGTAATGAATCTAATGAGCCACGTCGCTTTCAGAGTCTCGATCAGGTCATAATGAAAGTAAAGAGCTGATCTCAGAGCAGACGAGTTCGGCCCAGAGGAGTGTTTGTGTGTTTGCTGGTCAGACATCAGCAGCGGCCCGCGGGACACATTAACCCAACCACCGCTCGTAAACACACTGTTACTGAGCTGCAGACTTCAGGCGCCGGGGGGCTATTACTGTTACAGCCCCATATATATGAGAACCTGACTCATATACATCCACACTCTCACTGAAGAACACCACCTTCACAAACTAACTTAAACTGTAATTTATTGTGTATGTGTGTGTGTGTGTGTGTGTGTGTGTGTGTGAGAGAGAAAGTGGGTGTGTTGTAAAAATAAATGAATAAATAAAATTTCAAAATAAATAATTTCTAAATAAATAAAAGAATGCATACATAAATAAAAATACAATTTCAAAATTTACAATCAAGAAAATGACTCAATCAATCAAAATAAATAAATCCATAAACAAATTTTAAAAAATTACAAATAAATAAAAATAAAAATTTTAAATTACATAGACTAATAAATAAAATGATTGAATGAATGAATCAATCAATCATTTACATTGGCCAATAAATTAACTAAATTAATTCATTATTTCATACATAAATAAAATAAACTCATAAGCATATAAACAAAGAAATAAAAAAAACAAATGCAAAAATAAATAAATAAAAATCTAATTTCCATACACTACATACACTAATAAATTCACATTTACATACACTAATAAATAAATAAATATTTTAAGAACTTACATAGACCAATAAATAAACTATATTAATTAATTAATTAAATAACATCATAAATGTGTAAATGCATGGATAAATAAATAAATAAACAAATAAATAAATAAATCCCACATCATATAGGCCTATATCTAGAAAATAGAGCACAATCAGCAGATTTCCTTTGCAATTTGCATAATCTATTCTGACTTTATTAAGATATTTTCTGCAGCAGGGATCATATCTACGAGTCTAGAAAACAAACCGTCAGAACTGCTGATTATATCCAGCTTCAAGTCTGAAATGTGATGAATGTGAGTGTATTAATGAAAACAGAACATCTACATCCATCTCTGAACTTTCTGTCTGCCAAACCTTCCCGAGCCTGAAGAGTGCAGAACGAGAAAACTGCTCCTTCAGCGTCCTCTAGTGGTCACAGCTTGAAAATGCAACTAAATGCATGTAATTGTTTATTTAAAGAGTATTCCAGAGAGATGAGAAATAATTTGGTTACACTTTATTTTAAGGTGTCCTTGTTACAGTGTAATTATACATTTAAATACTGAGTAATATTAATTAACAACATGCACTTACTATATGGTTATGGTTAGGATTAGTGTTTGGTTCAGGGTTACTTGCATTTAATTATGCGTAATTTATTGTTATTATAATAGTAAGTACATGCAACATGTTTAACAAGAACACCTTAAAATAAAGTGTTACCATTATTAAAACTTCTGGCCAATGTAATATTCAGACTCAATTAAACATATTATGCTCTATCATCTGCATTAACATGCTGTCTAATTATGGCTGCATTTATGCAATAATGTACAACTTAATCAGGTTTTCATTCATTGTAATAAAGCTCAAATAAAATATAAAAACGATTCAACGAATCAACTGAAGTAAAAATAAGTTTAAGCTGAAGTACTAAAATTGCTAAAGCTGAAATAAAAATACGTAAGAGCAAGATAGAAATATAAAAAATAACTAATAAAAATAAAAGCACATGACAGAATTACTAAAAACCTAAACAAAAATTGCAATCTGATGGAGCTGAAGTGATAACTAAAACTTAAAAACACAATAAAATAAAGTAAAATTAGGAGACAAAAATGAAGGTAAATCGAAATATTTAAAAACAAATAGAATTGGCCAAATGCACAGCAAAATTCCTCATTTAAAACTGCAAACTCTGAGTGATGGAGGCACCTGTCGCGGCTTCTCCGTGGCTCTCTGGAGGTCTGTCTTGACTTTGTTGTTGGGATGATTGACCACTTTAGTGACCGGCTGTTTGAAGATGGAGGCTGTTTGTCTGATGGGCAGCGCCGTGTTCAGATCCGGCTTCCCCTACAAACACAGAGACGCATTTACAAAATACTCAACCTAAAGTCATTTTGTACATCAGGATCCAAACCCTGAAAATCTGCCGCTTTCGTCTCATTTCAACAGGAAATACATACACTCAAGGTTTTCAAAACAAAGAAATGTTATTATGATGTAAACAAACACATTTCGCACTATATGTCTATGAGACGAATCAGATGTCAGTGAAAGTGAAGGATCGAACTGAACTCAAAGATGTGGTCTGGACAACTGCTGGACTGTTTGGAAAAGGGCAAGCGCGCTGCTGGACCAAGCAGCATTAATACAGAGAGCTTACAGAAGAACGGAGCGAGGCAGTGCTTCATAGCAGTCCACAAACAAAGTCTGTTCACACTTCTTCAGTCACAGCAGTCTCTTCCAGCGATACACTCATACATTACTGGATTAATAGACTAAATACGTCCTGTTGCTGACTGTGTTTTGAGGAAATATTACGTACAGTAAGTGTTCATTTAAAATAAATACTAATAAATAATAAATTAAAAATGAAATTTGTTACAATGAAATAAATAAAATACACTAAAATTAAATTTAAAATAATACAGTTCATTAAATTAAATAAATAAACAAATAACTAAATAATAAGTATTATCAAATAATAAATTGCTGATTATTTTTAGTTAATATTTAGGAAATATTATGTACAATAAGTGTTTGTTTAAAATAAATAAAACAAGTAAAATTCAATAAAATGAATAAAATAAGTAAAATTCATTTCAATAATAAAATTCATATGAATACAGTTAATATACATGAAAAAAATAAAATAAATACATACTGTAAAAAGGAAAATTCCATTCATTCTCGTTTAGAGTAGAAGAATGAGTGATTTTCATATGTTTACAGATCATTCACATTCAGCTCCGTTCTGTTGGTCTTGTTCAGCAAAATCACATTGGCTGTCATTAAACTGTAATACTGAAACAGTGTGTGTGTGTGTGTGCGTGTGTGTGTCTGTGTCTGTGTGTGTGACTGTTCTGGAACTTATGAATGCATGATCTCAGAAATCTGAGCCAAACCTTTCCTGCCTCATCAGACGTTATGACTCATAATGAAGAAGATTTTCGCTTTAAATCAGCTCATTAAGAGCAAATGAAGAATACAGAGAGTCAGCTGAACTGAAAATGAAAGCGTATGAAGGTTGAGATCATATCAGAGTCCTGAGAGAGGCGCACAGACACACCTCACAGGATCAGCAAGCAGAACTACAGGACAAACGAGACAGCAGCTCAGCTCAGTTTCACAAAGCAAACTGGGTTACGCATAGATGTTGGTTTGAAAACATGTTTAAAAAAATTGCAATTTGCTTAGGTTAAATGAACTCACTTTGCCTATTTACACTAAGCCACTTCATGTATTTTCTCTGATTGGATAGTTATTTGATCATGAAAACATGCGGTGAAAATACCCTTCAAAATGCTGGACTACAGAGATTGACTACAATCTGATTGAGGCTTATTTTTTTAGATGCAAAAAAGTTTTTGGATTTTGAAGCCACAAAAATCACGCTCCTCCCAGAACTGTAAACAATAAAGGTGAGAGAGCATGTTTTAGCGGCTTACAGTAGCCAGATATCAGAGTGCTACTGCAACATACAACTCTATGCAACTCTCCATGCAACTCCATGCATCTTCACGCTAAAGCCCGACTGATATGGGTTTTTGGGGGCTGATGCAGATACTGATATTTGGGAGTAAAAAAAAAGTCAGATATCGGTATATCGGCCGATATTCTTTATATGAATATTATATTTTTGGCAGGGTTCCCCTGGTGTAACTCTTTTCAGATGCAAAGAAACAAGTGTAAATGTATCTGATTTTGAAACCACATAAATCACACTTCCAGATAACCAGATATCAGAGCGTTACTGCAACACACAACTCTACACAACTGTCCACGCATCTAATGGCAAGCTCACACTACATGATCTTTGGCTGGATTTTGCTGTTGCAGACAGAGTTCCAGAGTCTGCGACAAAACAAATCAAATCGGTGCTCGTTGCGGTCGCCGAAGCTCGTTAAGCATGAGCAGGGTCAGCAACGTGATCCGAACCTGTCTCGAGCCATTACAGAAGTTACGACATTTCAAACCTGTTTGATACTATCGCAACGTGATCTCTTAATGTGAGCGACACAATGACAAGGTGGAACTAATCCAGCCAATCACAGTGCAGATGGTATAAACAGTCTTATCATGCAGAAACGAAAAGCCACAAATTAATCAAATCAACTAACTAGAAATAAATTTAACAAATGCATAAATTGTGTATATAATACTGCATTTAATACTGTTTAATTACCTCCAACTCTTTCTGCAGTATAGACAGCCCTCGTTGTCCACATCTTCCAAGCCATTGTTTCTGCCATATTCTCTTTTTTTGTGGTTTCTTCTTTCTTTCGGATAAAATAACTGCACAGACCAACTGAAGGACGAGTTGATAGTCCATGCTTGAAGAAATGGTCTATAATCACTGTAATTTCCCGCGAGAATTTATGTGAGAAAACATATTTTCGCTGATGGTCGGGATTGCCTCTTCACCGAATGTTTTGTAGTGTGTGCACCTCGTCAGTGTTGTGTTGTGTAGTGCGTGCAGACACAACACAAAACTCCACAGATCTCTGAAGGACGAGTTGATAGTCCATGCTTGAAGAAATGGTCTATAATCACTGTAATTTCCCGCGAGAATTAATGTGAGAAAACATATTTTCGCTGATGGTCGGGATTGCCTCTTCACCGAATGTTTTGTAGTGTGTGCACCTCGTCAGTGTTGTGTTGTGTAGTGCGTGCAGACACAACACAAAACTCCACAGATCTCCACACATCTCAAAACTCCTCACAACTCTGAATTTCCACACAACTCCACGCATCGCCATACAACTCTTCACCACCCCCCACAACTCTATGTATCTTCACGCATCTCCACACAACTCCACGCATTTTCACACATTTCCATGCAACTCTACATATCTTCATACAACTCTTCACAACTCCACACATCTCCACACAAATTTTAAAACTCCTCACAATTCTGAATTTCCATGCATTTCCACACAACTCCCCTCAACTCTATACATCTTCACGCATCTCCACACAACTCCACGCATTTTCACACATTTCCATGCAACTCTACATATCTTCATACAACTCTTCACAACTCCACAAATCTCCACACAAATTTTAAAACTCCTCACAATTCTGAATTTCCATGCATTTCCACACAACTCCACGCATCGCCATACAACTCTTCACAACTCCCCTCAACTCTATACATCTTCACGCATCTCCACACAACTCCTCGCAACTTCACACATCTCCATGCAACTCTTTACAACTCCACACATCTCCACGCAACTCTTCACAACTCCACGCATCTCCACACAAGTTTTAAAACTCCTCACAACTCTGTATTTCCACACAACTCCACGCATCTCCATACAACTCTTCACAACTCCCCGCAACTCTATACATCTTCACGCATCTCCACACAACTCCTCGCAATGCCACACATTTTCACACATTTCCATGCAACTCCACATATCTCCATACAACTCTTTACAACTCCACACATCTCCATGCAACTCCACATATCACATATCTTCATACAACTCTTCACAACTCCACACATCTCCACACAAATTTTAAAACTCCTCACAATTCTGAATTTCCATGCATTTCCACACAACTCCCCTCAACTCTATACATCTTCACGCATCTCCACACAACTCCTCGCAACTTCACACATCTCCATGCAACTCTTTACAACTCCACACATCTCCACGCAACTCTTCACAACTCCACGCATCTCCACACAAGTTTTAAAACTCCTCACAACTCTGTATTTCCACACAACTCCACGCATCTCCATACAACTCTTCACAACTCCCCGCAACTCTATACATCTTCACGCATCTCCACACAACTCCTCGCAATGCCACACATTTTCACACATTTCCATGCAACTCCACATATCTCCATACAACTCTTTACAACTCCACACATCTCCATGCAACTCCACATATCTTCGTACAACTCTTCACAACTCCATGAATCTCCACACATCTCCACACAAATTTTAAAACTCCTCACAACTCTGCATTTCCACTCATTTCCACACAACTTCAAGCATCTCCATACAACTCCCCGCAACTTTATACATCTTCACGCATCTCCACACAACTCCTCGCAACTCTTTACAACTCCACACATCTCCACGCAACTCTTCACAACTCCACGCATCTCCACACAAATTTTAAAACTCCTCACAACTCTGCATTTCCACTCATTTCCACACAACTTCAAGCATCTCCATACAACTCCCCGCAACTTTATACATCTTCACGCATCTCCACACAACTCCACGCAACTCATTACAACTCCACGCAACTCCACATATCTTCATACAACTCTTCACAACTCCACGCATCTCCACACAAATTTTAAAACTCCTCACAACTCTGCATTTCCACACAACTCCACGCATCTCCATACAACTCTTCACACATTTCCATGCAACTCCACATATCTCCATACAACTCTTCGCATCTCCACACATCTCCACACATTGTCAATGAACCAAATGACCTGAGAGAGTGAGATGTGTGTGGCGTTTTGAGAGAGTGAGATGTGTGTGTTGTTCAGTACCTTGCTCAGGCTGAGGTTGTCGCTGCGCAGTCTCTGCTTGTTCTTCTGCATCTTGCTGGGCATCATTTTGCCCGTGCGGAAGTCGAAACATCCCAGATCCACCGAGTTCCCGAGATAGCGGGATAGCTGCGGTTTACTGCGGAACTTCTTTCCTGTGGGACTGGAGCAAAAAACATCAACACACTGAATGACTCAACCTAGTTTATTCTAAAAAAAAACTCTTCTGACTTCAGACTGAACATGTTCATAGTGGTGAGTTCTGCCTGGGCAGAAAGAAGTCTCTTCTGTTCACCAAGGCTGCATTTATTTGATCAAAAATACAGTCAAAATTGGGAAATATTTTTACAATTTCAAACAGCTGTTTTCTATGTGAATCTCTGTTAAGCTGTAATTTATTTCTGTGATGCGCAGCTGTATTTTCATTACTCCAGTCTTCAGTGTCACATGATCTTCAGAAATCATTCTAATATGCTGATTTGCTGCTCAACAAACATTTCTGATTATTATCAATGTTGAACACAGTCGTGCTGCACAATATTTTTGTGGAAACCGTGATACTTTTTATTTTTCAGGATTCACAGATGAACAGAAAGTTCAAAAGAACAGCATTTATTATTTTAACATTTTCACTTTTGATCAATTTAATGCATCCTTGATGAATAAAATCTTTTTTTTAAATTCCTATCGACTGTAAACTTTTGGTAGTGATACTATTAAAAGGTGTATGTTTTGGTTGTTGTAACACCTGCGCAGACGCACACGACTGCGGTCACAGCTGCTGAAGAGCAGAAATGAAAACATACAGATCCACTTTTCACATGAAATCAAAACTGGCTGAAGGCTATATCATCTTAATGAATGTCCCTGATCTTCCTGATTCTTCTGCTTGCATTATTGCAAACATAAACAAAACAGGTGCCAGCTGACGTCATCAACCCGATCAATTCATGATATCAGAAAGTTAAGTCCCATCCTGCAGTTTCTCTCAGAAACCCGTCATATTATTGAGGTGGAGTGTGTTGTGAATGTGGTTTCTTGTTGATTGAATGTTTTCCAGCCTGAAACTAAAGCGCTAATCTGCTCAGATAAAGCTCTGGTCCGCAGGAGTGCTGACCCTTGGACTGACCGCTGCAAACCAGACTTCAGCAGGACTAGTTAACCCGCAGGGACCGCTGTACAGTTGACACGTCCACACCAACTTACTCGCCCATTACGTAACGTCATATAAGCAGCAAAGGCTATTTTCATGGCAAACACATTGGAGAAATTGAAATAATCATAATTCAAGTTTCAATTTATTTATCTTTTTTAATATATAGCACTTTCCACAATACATATTGTTACAAAGCAGCTTCACAGAAAAATGCATGTTTCAATCAGTGTTTTCTTAGTGTGATTAAGATACTATTATAGTTTGATTTTAAATATTTTGAATTTGTTTTAATTTGTGTATTTTCTGCATTTTCTGTTGTGTGTTTTCTGCTTTTTTAATGTGATTATATATATATTTTTTAGTTTTGGTTATTTAAGTAAATCTTAAGTTAAAATAAATTTAAATGAGAAATGTTGTTTTGGAAACTAGCTGCAATAAAATAATAATCCTTTTAAATAATTTAAATTTTTAATTTTAATAATTCTAAATTATTGATTATATTTCAGTTAGTCAGCTAGCTATAATAACCCTGGAATCAATGTTACAATCAGGACGTATTCTGTATTCTATAACAATAAACTTCACTAAATTCTAATTATTATTAAAATTATTAAAACAATATTTTCCTACAAACACATAAATATTTTCCTATAACAAAAATATTAATTATATGAATTATTTTAGTTTAATATTCCCACACTGTAAAAAAAAAAAGTTTTTTTTTTTTTTTAAGTTGTAAAATATTGTTTTAAAACATTAAATAAAAAATTTTAAAAAAAACATTCTGTAGTACATTATACAAGAAAATACAATTTCAGCCTGTCTACTATAAAATTTCAAGTGTATAATTTCAACTTAATGTGTTACTTGCCGTTTCATTTGAGAGAAAACGGTTTAAAAGGCATTTTTTAGAGCAAGTCTTTTAAAAACGTCCACTGATGAAATTTCTGAATAAAAGCAGTTTGAAACGTGAGAGGAAAACTGAAGTAATAGATGTAAAATGTTTTATTTAACTGAATCACTGCAACACTTTAATCTCCAGCGTTCCTCTTCAGGTTTCGTCTGTAACGTCTACAAAACGCAAGCGTGTTTTGGCCGAGTCGGCACACTTCTGCCTCCAAACTCACAATCCAAGCCCTGCCGTGTGGAAACCTGCCAAAATTCACCTAACGACCTTTGAACTTCATGTAAATAAACCTGTATTCTGCAGCTCGGCTTTGGATCGTCAGTTTGAATCTGTCGACGCGGCACACACACACACTCACAAACAAACACACACACTCACACACACACTCTGTCTCGCTCTCTTGTGGTCTGAGAGTCTCTGAAGCGTGGTTTCTCACCCTGACGCTGTATTTGACTTTGCCGGCGTAGTGTCGGATGATGAACGCCGGCTCCATGACGGCAGGAAACTCGATGTAGCCGTTTCCCTCGTGCTGCCGCTTAAACTTATCCAGCAGAGTCTGATTAGACGCCTGCGGAAAACTGCAAGCCAACCACAACAACATTCACATTCACACCTAATCAAACACTCCAGTCTGCAATAATTCATCACTGTTTTATGACAGAAATGCTACTAAACAGAAACGGAGTTCAAACAATAATGATGTATCTACACACACACACTCGCTCTCACACACACACACTCTCAAGCTGCAAATCTGCGGTAACGCTCTCATTTACTCCTTCTCACCATGAAGAGGACAAGAACATGAGGAAACACTCTGCCACAGGCGGCACAGAAAAAAATACACTTTATGACGCTGTAGTTACAGTAATAAGTGCAGTAAACAGTAAAGACGGTGGGGAGATGATTATCAGTCTGCAGCGCTGCTGGAGGAACGTAACGCACTGCAGACACACAGAACCTCCACTCATTCACACACTCAACACAAACAATCAGAAATAAAACTATAATTTCCAATTAGAATGTGTGTGTGCTTTTTTTAAATCTTCAGATATCACAAAAACAACTGATCAAATAAATAAAGCGACCCCAGTTATTGCATTAAATTTCGCAGGCGTTTTTATCCAAAATGACTTGCAAAGGATGTTTTTCTCAAAACATGGCCTTTATGCAATATAATTAGCAGATGTGGGCAAACTGCACCAGGAAAACAAATATAAGAGACATAAATATTCTACAAAATTAAAAGGCAGGAAATGTAACTTATTATGATTAAAATAATACAATATAAACATTTTAAATATTCGTAAAAACATGAAATGACACCGAATTAAAATTCAACAAATTTTATTTGTTTCATTTTTAATTATGCTTCATGTTTAATTACACTCATGGGTGGCATTTAATATGAACATGACATCTGTTTTCAATAAGTGTTGGCATTTCATGAATGTAAATCGTTTGTTAATGCATGTAAATGTGGTAATATAAGCTCACTGAGAATTACAATGTTAAAAAGCAGGAATCTAAGCAGGACTAGAGCATATGATCCATTACACTCATATTCTTTAATTGCAAGGCTGCAAAACTGTGAGCGTAGCAGAAGTGCAGCTAGTGAACGCTCACAGCGATGCGGTGAGAAGCTGCAGAAAATGAGTCCACAGCAGAGATGGACGAACCGCAAACACTGCATTAGTCAGACTCAAAGATGAGTCAAAACTGAGAAAACACACACACACTCACACTCGCACACACACACGCACTCGAACACTCTCGAACGCACACTCACACACTCGAACACACACTCACTCGCACACACTCGAACACACACACACACATACTTGCACACACACTCGAACACACACACACTTACTCGCGCACACACACACACACACACACACACACACTTGGGCAGGGCCTATCTGGCTTTAACACACAGTAAGACACAGTGTGCAAACCACAGGCTCTGAGAGTTTCTGAAAGCTGATATGAGCCGAGGCCGAGACACAGAGACACCAGACGCTCCAGCAGGGCGTTTCCACTCGCTGTTACACAGACAGACAGACAGACAGACAGAGAAACAGACAGAGACAGACGGACAGACAGAGAAACAGACAGAGACAGACGGACAGACAGAGAAACAGACAGAGACAGACGGACAGACGCAGACAGACAGACAGATATACGGATGGACAGAGAGACGGACAGACAGACAGGCAGACAGACAGATGGAGGGACAGACAGCGAGACAGACGGATGGAAAGACGGACAGACAGACAGACAGACAGGCAGACAGACTGACGGACGGACGGACGGATAGAGAGACTGACAGACAGACTGACAGACAGACAGACAGACAGACAGACAGACGGATGGACAGGCAGACAGACAGACAGACAGACAGACAGACAGACAGACAGACGG